TAAAAATTTAAAATCTAAAACCAAAATTATACTAAGTAGAGCTTTGATTTTAAGGGAAAAATAGTTACTTTAACCCTAACTTTCTTTAGGTAATCATTTTTCATTAAAATAATCGCCCTCAAATCATGATTTTTGGTTTACTTAATACCAATCCGATCCTTGATAAACTCACCTACAAGATTTTAAAAGACTACCGGTAAAAGGTGTAAATGTGAACTCTAGCTAAGCATTTTCTAGCTAAACAACAGTTTAGGGGTCTTACGGCTCTTCTGGCATTAGCCCTACACAGTGCATTCTATATTTAAAAAATATGATAATTTTATAAAAAAAATATATCATATTTGTAAGTAAAAAAATTCCCAAGTTGAATTCAACCCATTAATCTGTCAGATCCAACAGCTATAATTTACTCAGAAATCAAAGGAAAAAAAAAAAAAAAGAATACACAAGTACATGTTAGTTTGAATAATATATTTTAAACTGAAATTCCTTAGAAAAATACAAAGCAAATTGTCATGAAATCGTCGACAAATCTGGGGATTCCCTCTCATTTTATTTTATAAAAAAGACAGCAAATTAATTATTATTTTTGCATTTATAAAAAATTCAAGTCTCCTTTCTTCTGCCCTAAACTTTTGCCATTTTGGAGGTGAGAGTCAGCAGTGAAGACGAAGTGGCAGTGCCAGTGCAGTGAGGGTGTTGCGTCGTTAATCACGCCCTTAAGGTTTAATTAAATAAAGTCATTTTCTGTTTGCTTAAAATAAAATAAAGATTGCAGAATTCTGATCTCTGACACTGCAAATCGGCATTTCTTCCCCTCTCTTGTTGTACGGAAAATAAAAAATAAAAAAGTGATTAAGTTGGTATTAATGGTTTTATATATATATTTAAGAGTTTAATTTACAATAAAAAAAAAGAAATTTACAGTTTAATTTGTATGATATATAAAGAAAATGATTCAAAAAATAAAATAAAAAAATTTATTGGACAACCACTTATAAAAGAAAGAAAGAAAGAAAGAAAGAAAGAAAGAAAGAAAGAAAGAGAGAAATGGGTATTGATATCTCCCTTTTAACGCTTTGCCTCACACCAATCCCACGGCATTTGTCCACTTATATCTCCTTTGTATTTGAAATTTTTTTCTTCAAAAAGAGTGAAGCTAGCAAAATGTAGTTTAATTATTGTTTTTTCTTAATCCGTGTGTAAGGTGAAAAAACCATAAACATCAGTAATTTTTTTTTAATATAAAAAACATCATCAAACCATATATGATTGATGGTTATGGCGAGGGAGTAACTGCTAGCACCAAAGAAGGTAGGAGGAAGGCATGAGGAGTGTGAAGGGAGGGAAGGAAGTAAAAAATGGCCAACTACCCTAACAGGAGACACTGACTCCCAGCTTGTGTCACTGCTTACCACAATTGTAGAAGTTGGTAAAAGTTTATTGCCAAAGTCATTTCTGGGTTCTGACTCAGACTAGTTTTCATGTCCTACACGCCTCATCTCATCAATTTTTCCTACAACTTTCAATGTTATGGGCCAACCCATAAACCAATTTTGATTATCCCAATACCGAACTCAAAATCAGGGAACTATCATCAATCGGTTGTACCACTGACATAGCTTGGTAGTTGTATTGTAATTTTCTCTTTTTCTTCAAACGG